CCCCAAAACCCCAAAACCCCAAAACCCCAAAACCCCGAAATCAAAGTATATGATTGAAAGTTTACTAATTCAACGATGTATCTAATTAAATATTATTTTTAGGCTTGACTTGAGCTTTAAATGGTTTTATACTTTTTGCCAAAATTTGAGATTCTAAGTTTGGCACATCTTTTACTTTTGGCTGGAATAAAATACACACAACATAGTAAATCAAAGCAAAAGAAATAATAGAAACTCCGACCGTTGTGCATTCATTCCTAAAAGATATTATCTCTGAAATATAGCTTCAATATATTGGCCCTATTGTTGCTCCACATTGTCATGCAAAAAAGAAAACACCAGATGAGAGGTCATTAGCCTTAGATTTTTGAGTTGGATATTTATTTTCACTTTCATTTGTCATCACTGAAAGGGAAAAAGCCAATAAAAACACAGCTGTAGTACCTATTAAAATCATTGCTACAATTATCACCTCTACTCTATCAGGCAAAAACATGCTGGGACCGAGTCAGAGTTGACCAAATCCACATGCGATAAGCGCCAAAACAATTATCTTCTTCGGTTCATACCCAACATTACCTTCATTATGATTAGAACTAGTAACAACAGGCACAAGGAAAACACTACTTAGTGTTTGAGCAGTAGGACCAATGGCAAAGAAAAATGAGATTTCAAGTGACGATAATCCTAACTCTTGCAATCTTGTGGGAAGCTCTGGGTGGTAGCTTGAAAAGGACAGAAAAGCTAAATCTTAGTACTAAAAATTACTTAGGGCTGTGACAATTGCTGTGAGAGAAAACACCCTGTTTTTTATTAAAGTCCAGTATTCAGCCTTGATTTCTGTTACTGGGTGCTCTTGATCACTTCGTTCTATTGAAGGATCAAGTAAGGTTTCCTCTTCCTCATTGAATGATTCAGGAATCTGGACATACAAAATAGGACACAAGATAAATAATAGCCCTGCTAGGATATAAAATGTAGACCCAAATCCGCAGAAAGAATATATTACACCACCGATAGCTGGTCCAAGAGCTAATCCAATCCCTTGCATTCCTTCGAATAGGGCAAGATATTTCTGCTTTTTCTCTCCATAAGAGATTGAAATGATTGCATAAGAGGGTGTATGTATCATGCTTGACCCAAGTCCTTGAAGAGCTCTGAATACAAATCAGCAAATGCAGACTAAAGTTGAGTTCTCAAGATAGCTAATAGAGCTAAACATGGCTAATCAAGCACTCATACAAAGGATTCCAAGAACCAAGACTCTTTTCCTCCCAAGTACTATCATGAACTTACCCAAAAATAATGAACTAATCATAGAAGAAACTGAATACATTGCTATAATATACCCAAATGTTGCCTCTCTGATATCATATCTCTTGAACTCGATTGAGAGGAAAGGGATAAACAGCATATAGCAAGCGTTGCATAATACAGCTGCAACATTAAGAGCAATAAAATGTTTTAGATCCATCCCAATTAAAATTATTATACTTTACAAATTTAGAATTACAATGGAATTAGCAAAACTGGGGTTTTGGGGTTTTGGGGTTTTGGGGTTTTGGGGTTTTGGGGTTTTGGGG